TCTTGGGCTTTCTCCTTTCTCAGAAACGATGAGGAGACAAATATTCATAAGTTATTAGTAAATCTACTCGGAAACCAAGTAAACAACGAATCACCAATCGTCTAGGATTCCTTAAAATATGCAGGAAAATTGAGTGTGACGCCAAAGAGACAATTTATAAACACAGCCAAGGAACGAACGACTTGTTGTTGCTGCTGCCCAAGTAAATCCTTTAAGCTTCTTCATCTTCTTTTATATATTTTTGAAATAATGAAACAAAAGGAACGCGAAAGTTCTGTTGAGTGAAGACGTGCTGTTCCGCAGCATATCGAAGGTTCAAACATCGAAGTGGTCCCTTTACAGTACCCTCCGGCGAAACCAAAAGAGGGGTTTCTAGCCAGTAACTTTACAAATTTGGAAATTAAATCGATTTTTGCTTTTTCAGAGCCCTTCTGCTCACCGATCGTACCACATATACCCATACGACAACGACTTTCGAGCAGACGAGGCACCAGTGGTAAGGCAATCAAACGTTGTTTCGTGGACTTGATGAAAGTAAACTTTTGGCTCAAGCCAATTCCAAAATTTGAACCATGTGCAATCGGAGTCCGTAGCCTCCAAAAGCTTTGAGGCAGGGTTGGACGGAAATTGCGATTTAGCCCTAGTAATGTAAGCAATCTGATCCGGAAATTGCGGGCAGAATGGGTGGCCGATCGAATTTCTTCGCTAGCCAGAAAGTTTGCTCGAAGATACGACGAATACGAAAACCGAATCGCCCAGTTGAAGGCCCAGTTGAAGTTGAAAGCAGCTTGGTTCCAAGCACCCAAAAATGTCAAAATTACTTGTTTGATTTCCTGTAGGGAAGGCCCGATGGGGCAAATGAGTATGCCAGAGCTCTGAAGTGAAGGGACATGAGGGTTCGAAAGGACAGCTTGGGTTCGCGGTGGTTTTTGATGGTTTTCTTGAATTCGTGCCATGCTATGCTTCATTCAACCGTGAAGAATTCGTAACTGAAAAGTGCAAAATGAGTATCCCTTTTACATGTCGTGACTATGGCTCACTACCATCCAAGTTGTCCATCCTTCAAATAGGGAGGATCTTCAAGGGATATCAGAGCCATTATCTGGGCCTTATTTCTGACCAGAGGGAAAAACACCAGTGGAACGGGTTGAG